AACTGTATCAACTCTTAGCAAGACCAATCAAGAAAATGTGATACTCTGTTTTCTCTTCAGATCATATAAATCTTTTGCCTTTTACTAAAGAAAATGTGAAAGAAAATATATTACCAGTATCAACAATCAAAAGGGGACATCACTATAGGTCCTATAGACATTAGCAATATAAGAAGATATTATAAACAACTTTATACCAATAGATTTGACAGTTCAGATGAAATGGAAAACCAAAACTTGCCAAAACTGAAACCAGAATAAATAAAAATTTTTATGTCCTAAGGGAGTTGAATTCATAGTTTAAAACTTCCTACAAAGAAAACTCCAGATGGCTTCACTGGTGAATTCTTTCCAACATATATACTGCTTTTAGAAAGGCATAAAAGGCATATTCACACTTTCTAATGCTTATGTATTATACACACTATTTATGGTTTAACTTCCCCCAATTCCATGCAACATTCATTGAGCACCTACTGTGTTTCAGGGTATGATGTTAAATGTTGTAGATACAAAGATGAATAATGGAGTTTTTGGGGGAGGGACTTGAAGGTTGAAGGAAGAAGCAGACATATAATGGAAATGCAGTGAAATAAGTGCTAACAGAGGTATGTATAAAGCATCACAAGAGATGGGGATGAATCCAGGGAACGGAAGACTTCCCAGGCATGAGAAGTGAAACAACATGGCATGTGGTATAGCATAAAAATGAATGGAAAATAGAAAAGATTCTTCCTTGGTCTTCTACCCTTATTCTCTTAATTTTTTTTTTACTCTTTAGGGTTCTGTCCTTGGTTTCTGTTTTTCACTCTCCCCCCAAAATTTCATCCACTCTTACATTTTTCCCTATTATATGTAAGTTAATCTTTCCAAAATCTGTGTCTCCAGCCTCCACCTCTGTACTGAGCTCCAGGCCTAAATATCCAAACATCCACAGAATTCACCTACTCAAGGACTTTGCCTCCACACTTATCCCATCTCTCTACTGCACCACCAATTTTCTCTACCTTCTTGATAAAAACCCTTCCTGATGCCCTGTGTCTTCCCAGCTACTACCTCATTTCTCTGCTCCCCTTTACATAGTAAAACTTCTTTCTTTCTTTCTGCTTCAATGAGGCTGCTCTTATCAAGGTCACTGATAACCTTCATGTTGCCCAATTCAGCTCTCAACTTACTTGACCTAAACAGCAGCATTTGACCAGTTGATCATTTTCTCCTTCCTGAAAAACTACCCTTCCTTCTCACCCTCTACTGATTTTCTTCTCACCTCACCGGCCTCCCCTTTTCAATCTCTTTTTTGGATTTGCTTTCTTTTCTCAACATTTAAGTATTAGAGTATTCTAGTGTGCTATCCTTGGACTTCTCATTTTTTGCTGACATTCATTTCTTAGAAAATCCTAACCAATTCTATCATTTAAAATGTCATCTATATGCCAATTAATTCCAAAAACTGTATGTCTCCAACCTCAACCCCTCCCTTGAACTCCAAATTCATATCACGACTAGCTACTTAGATGTCTAATAGTATTCCAAACTAAACATGTCCAAATTAAACTTTAGATTCCCTGCTGCCCAAACTTTATCCTTCAGTCTTCTCCACTTCAGTAAATGGTTCTATCATTCACCCTGTTGCTCAAGCCAGAAATGTCAGGATCATCATTGACTCTTCTCCTTTTCTAATACTCTCATTCAATCCATCAGCCCATTGGCACATTTCATCAGCCTATCTGCAGCATATATTCTAAATCTGATTAGTTCATTCTCACCACTTTGATCACTACTACTCTCATCCAAAGCACCATCATTTCTCACCTAGGTTCCTTCCTCCTAACTGGCTACCCTGTTTCCACTATCTCCCCACAATAATCTATTCTGAGTGATCCTTTCACAGTGTAAGCTAGGATATCCCACTCCACTGTTCAACACTCTTCACATGACATTTAAAATAAAATACAAATACAGTTTTTTTTTATGATCTGCGAGGCCCTCATGATCTGGGCTCTTGCTGTATTCTGACCTTATCTCCTTCCATTCTCCCCTTGCATCTATTTGTGCTCCAGCCATACTAGCTTCATTGTTTTTTCTCAAATGTATGCCAAGCATATTGCCACCTCTGGACATTTGCACTTGCTATTCACTTTGCTTGAATTTTCTTTGCACAGATATTCACATGGCTCATTTCCTCACAACATTTATGTCTCTGTTCAAATGTCACCTCCTCAGAGGGACCATCCTATCTAAAATAACTTCTTAATTTGCTGTGCTTTTACTCTGCTCTACTTTTTTCCCTAGCTTGTAACAGTAGAGAAATTATATCATGTACATATCTGTTTATTGGATATTATCTGCCTCTCCTACTAGAATGTAAGTTATATAAAAGTAAGGCATTTATTTGTTTTGTTCAGTCACCAAGTCCTATCTATACTATCTCTTAAAAATATCTTCAGTCCATCTTTTCTCCATGCCTACTACCTCTTTGCATATTGGATAAAGTCGGCTCTTTAACACAGCATTCAAAGTATTTCCAGCCCCTTCTCCCACCACCTCCTCACTTTTACTCTCTAGAAGTACCAAAATGCTTGCAGCTCATGTGCTTCTTGCCTCTGTCCTTGGGACATGCTGCTTCTTTTCTACTTAAATGCCCTTTTCTGATTCTCAAAGATAGATAAATATTACCTCCTTTGTCCATACTTCTGTTGCTTTTGCCATACTGTGCTTGAATTTTTTTCTTACATATATGTGTGAACTCCATATCAATCTGTGAGCTCCTTAAGGGGAGAAGGTGGTGTCTTACCTAGGGCACAGCTCCTGTCACATAGTAAGGGGCAGATGGAGAGGGGAGTAGGGCATGGGGAATGTTCAAAGTAGAAGGAACTGTATGTATGAACACTCTGAGGCATGGAGGAACTTGGAAAGAGAAAAGGTCAGTGTGACTGGAGCCAGTGAATAAGGGGGAGAGTAATAGGAGAGCAAACTGGAAAGACTGTGGGAACTAGATCATGCAAGGCCTGTTGACCTTGCTAAGGATCTTGAACATTATCCTAAGAGAAATGGGAAACCCCTGACAGGTTTTAAGTAGGAAATGACAAGATAAAATTTGCATTAGAAATATAGTGATGGATGCTATGTAAAGAATGGATTGAAAGGATACAAGAATAAATACAGAGACCAGATGGAGACTCTTATACTAGTCCAGGCAAAAGATGATGTTGGGTTGGGCAAGGGTAGTAGAATTGGGGATGGTGAGAAATAAATATATTCAAGATATATCTTGGAGGTAGAATGGCTAGGACTTAGTAATAGAACAAGTGAGGAGGCAAAGGAAATAGATTTGCACAACTAAATGGCTGGTGGAATAATTTACTGAAACATAGTGGATTTGTTGGAGTAAGGGTCAAAAGAGCAACAGCTAAATGTTGAGGTATTAAGTTTGAGATGCCTGAGCGAGATATGTAGTGGGATATGTAGAAGTGCAGTTGAATATAGAGGTGTGGATTTCAGAAGAGAGGTTTGAACTGGAAAAATAATAAAGTAAAAGTAATTGGGAGTCGTGAGCATATAGAATATATGTAGAGCCGTAGGAGTTGATGAGAGAGCCTAGGGAGAGATTGCAGCATGAAAAGAGAAGAGGGCATGACTGACATGGAGTTGAAAAGAAAGCCACTGGATTGGAGGAAATGAGACATGAAACTGAGAGGCTACAGGGACCTTGAAATTGCCCAGGAGAATAGCAGAAGTTGAGGGGAGAGGAAGGCTGTGAGCCACATGCTTCCATATTTTCAGAAAATGAGGGAAAATGGCCAACAGTTTGGGAGATAATTGCACTAGGAAGTGAGAAAAGATGAATGGACAGATGACATGAACCTCAAAAAGTCAGAGATTTTACAAGAAGTAGAAGTAGCATTGAGGAGGAACAACCTAAATTTTTACCTTAACTACAGTCTCTGTTTCAGATAATAAGGATTGTCAAGAATATCTTTGGGCTTTGCAGGTTAAATAGATTCAAAGAAATTCTGTTCCACAGTAAGCCACTCCCCTGGGGCTTAATCAAGGCAAGGAATCTGGCAGAGTGAGACCAAAGCAGTGGGAATGCAGCACAGAAAAGAGTGAGAAATAAGAGGCTATACTAAGAGTTCAAGTGAGAGGTAATGAGCTATTGAACTAATGCAAAAGCAGAGGGGACAAAAGGAAGGAGAGCTTGAGGATACACCTCTGCCCTATCTGGAGACTAAGTTCAATTTCATGGCTAATGAGTCAGTTAATCATCCCTACATAATGAAATCCCCAAAACTCTGAACATTGAGGTTCAGAGGAGCTTCCTGGTTGGTGAACACATCCGTGTGCTGGAAAAGTGATGCATCCCGATACCACAGGGAGAGGGAATGAATGCTTTGCATTCAAGACCCTCCCAGATCTCACCTAATGCGTCTTTTCATTTGGTTGCCCTGATTTGTATACTTTATAATAAAACTGTAATCATAAGTATAGCACTTACTGAGTTCTGAAATCATTCTTATGAATTATTGAACCTGAGGGAACCCTTGAATTTTTAGCCAGTTGGACAGAAGTTTGGGATCCCCAAACTGTGGCTTGCATCTGTAGTAAAATCAGTCTTTCTGTGGACTGTGCTTTTAAACTTGTCAAATTTAACACTAACTCCTCCAGGTGGTTAGCATCAGAACTGTATTGCAATTGGGATTCAGGTCAGAATAACAGATAACAGAGGATCCTAGTCAAACTGACTTTAAAAACCAAAGGGAATTTATTGGTATACATTACTGAAAAGTCCAAAAGTATATGGCTTCCACTGACTTGATCTAGCACTCAAATAACATTACCAGGATCTGTTTTTTCTTTCTTGCTCTGTCACCCAGGCTGGAGTACAGTCACACAATCACAGGTCACTGCAAAACCTCGAACTCCTGTGCTCAAGCAATGCTCCCGCTTCAGCCTCCCAAAGTGCTGGGATTACAGACATGAGCCACTGCGCCCGGCCAGGACTTAGTTTTTCTATACCAATTTTTCTGTGCTGCAACCTTGAAATGGGCTTCATTTTCAGCAAATTCTCCTTCCCTGGTTCAGGATGGCTGCTAGTAGTTCCTGAAGCTATGTGTTTGTAGACTTACATTCAATTGAGAAAGAGAATGAGAGACAGACAGACAGAAAAACTGAGCAAGAAGACATACACTCTTTTTTTTTTTTGAGACAGAGTCTTGCTTTGTTGCCCAGGCTAGAGTGAGTGCCGTGGCATCAGCCTAGCTCAAGCAACCTCAAACTCCTAGGCTTAAGTAATCCTCCTGCCTCAGCCTCCCGAGTAGCTGGGACTACAGGCATGCGCCACCATGCCCGGCTAATTTTTTCTACATATATAGTAGTTGGCCAATTAATTTCTTTCTATTTATAGTAGAGACGGGGTCTCACTCTTGCTCAGGCTGGTTTCGAACTCCTGACCTCGAGCAATCCGCCCGCCTGGGCCTCCCAGAGTGCTAGGATTACAGGCGTGAGCCACTGCACCCAGCCAACATACTCTTGATTACTCAAATAAATGTACAAGCATTGAGTATAGTTGGCCCAATTTTGGTCACGGGACCATACTTGACCAAATTACCATGACCAGAAGTTTTGCCATAAGCCATTTAGAGCCTACTCCTAAAATTACAGGTAGGGTCAATCTTGCCAAAACTTTTGCCAAAAATCACTTGCCTTAAGCAAAATCTGGGTACTATGGTTGGGAAAATGGGGAAATTAATATTGTAGAAGCAATCAGTAGTCTCCACTGCAGTTTTCAATTGATTTTTTTTTTTTTTTTGAGACAAAGTCTCATTCTGTCCCCTGGGCTAGAGTGCTGTGGCGTCAGCCTACCTCACAGCAACCTTAAACTCCTGGGCTCAAGTGATTCTCCAACCTCAGCTTCCCGAGTAGCTGGGACTACAGGCACGTGCACCACATCTGGCTAATTTTTCTATTTTTAGTAGAGACAGGGTCTCGCTCTTGCTCAGACTAGTCTCAAACTCCTAACCTCAAGCGATCCTCCCACCTTGGCCTCCCAGAGTGCTAGGATTACAGGCATGAGCCACTGCGCCCAGTCACAATTGATATTTATTGAATTGACTCCTCATTTAAAAAATTAACTGCATTCTGGAGAGCAATCCCAAATCCCTTTAGTTATTAATTCTACACATGGAGTTTTCTATCTGATATCCAGGTGGCTTAAGCGTCCTGTGAGATTCTCTTTGCAACCTAGTGATTTTCTTGTGCAATTCAGAAAAAGAGAAATACTGCTTATCAGATTATGGTAACAACGTACCTTCTCTAGAGATCATTTATGTCCAATTTAATTATTCAGAAAATAAGACCCTAAGAAATGCCAACTCAAAGAGCTGACAGAGGATGATGATTCTGCAAAAGAAAAACTCTAGGCTTTCAGCCCTGCAAGCTGGAACTACCAAGACAGATGTCACAAAGTCTGTGCACCAAAGTTCACCAGCTTTATCAACAGGAAACATTCTCAGATCTTCATTTAGAGCAAGTTTGCCATGATTATAGATTTAGTTATAATCATTATAATTTAGTTATAATACATAACTATTTATATATAATATATTTATATATAACTATATTTATATAGTTATATATAGTTATAAATAACTATATAATTATAATCATATAATTTAGTTATAATCTAATAGATTTAGTTATCTGGTATAGCGAACTTTATATTGCTGACTATTCTTTCTTTTTTAGGTAATAGTACTCTGATTTTCCTTTGGGTAAACTAGCTTGTTCTCACTTTCAGTTTTGTGGATTTTGTAGGGCTGATACTACCCACAAGGTACATGACCAAGATCTGGCCACTCTTTTGGCCACAGTAATTGATTCTGAAATGGGCATGTGGCCCAATGTAGGGCATTGAGAGCTCTACCCAGAACTGTGCCTGCAATTCTTGAGGGGTTGCTAGGTTATTGAGATGTAATCCCAGACCGAAATGGGTGCCATGCAGGAGGATCCTGCTGTAAAATGAAGCCAACATAGAGGAAAACAGAGCAGAAAGATAGCAATAGAAATAGAGATAAAGATAAAGACAGAGAGAGAAACAGAGAGAGACAGAGAACCACAGAGAAAGAGAGAGAGAGAGAGAACCTAGTTTGAATGTTATAATTTGAGCCCCTGGAACCAGCCATGACTAAAACTCAGGCTTTTCAGTCACATTAAACCTGGCTGAGTTGGGTATATATATTGAAAGAGTCTTAACTAATTCATCTGGTTTTCTGGTTCAAGCAGATTAAAAGCAACAATAGAAAAGGGTTTTTGCTTGGAGGCAAGTAAATTAGCATCAGTTTCACCGATTAAAAAATTTTTATAGGCCTGCGGGGTGGCTCAGGCCTGTAATCCTAGCACTCTGGGAGGCCCAGGCAGGCGGATTGCTTGAGGTCAGGAGTTCAAAACCAGCCTGAGCAAGAGCTAGAGCCCATCTCTACTATAAATAGAAAGAAATTAATTGGCCAACTAATATATATAGAACAAATTAGCCGGTCATGGTGGCACATGCCTGTAGTCCCAGCTACTCGGGAGGCTGAGGCAGAAGGATTGCTTGAGCCCAGGAGTTTGAGGTTGCTGTGAGCTATGCATGATGCCATGGCACTCACTCTAGCTGGGCAACAAAGCAAGATTCTGTATCAAAAAAAAAAAAAAATTTATAAGTTCTGAACACTCACTGAAATACAGTGTTTGGGTGTTTAGTGCTGACAGCAAAAGAAGGCAAAAGAAAATGACAAAATCTCTCTCTCTCTCTCTGTCTCTAATTGAAAAAAAGAAAAACAAAACAATTTTGGACCCTAATCATGACATCATATTTTATAATTCATTATATTGCAGTACAAGATAATGTTCGAGGACCCTAATGACCCTATTGTTATAACTGCCCTCAACATTGTCTCACTCTTAAACCCATCTTTGATTCCTCCCTTAGTGAGTAGTTATAATACTAGAGCAAAATTATATTATTAAATGTTTCTGTTTTAATTTCCTACAAAACCAAAATGCTGGATTTTATTTATTTATTTTGGATTTTATGTTTTACATGTTCAGAATTTATAAGGTTTTTCCTTAATGAAACTAAATATTATTTAATGCATTTAAAAACAAATATTATAAACACATTACCAAGTGTCCTTCTGGCCACTACGGGCTCTGCTGCTTTCTGTAACGTCACTGTTCCCCATACAAGTCCCCCAACCACCAACACACTTAAACACACATCATCTCTGACATAACTGGTTTGGAAGAGCTTCAGGATCTTCCTGCTCAGTTTAACTCCTCATGGAGTTTTCAGGACTACTACCTCTGGCTGAAAATGGTTTTTCTACTCCCAGTCCAAGAGAGATGGCCCTAACTAAGGACTGACTCTTCCCCATATCCTGTGGAGAGATTTCCTACTTTGAATGCTGTTCCTGCCTAGTTCTTACCCAGCCTTTTTGCTAAGCGAGTATAGCAGAGGATGAAGGAGTTTGGAAGAGGTAGGGAGTTGCTGGGACTGGGTAGTGAAAATGGGGTGGGAGGGATGGTGGTGAGGGTATCAGCGATGGGGAGAGGATTTGGGCAGAAGGGAAGAGGGTTTCAAGAGAGAGCCAAGAAGACTAAATGAAGCTGCTGATCAATGTGTAAAATAACAATATTACATCTACAAAAATACCTCAATTTCAAGGCTGAAAAAGAGCACAGTATTCCCATCTCTAGAGGACCCATTTCCTGGTCCTTCAATTGCTTCTGATGTTTCTTCTCACCTGAAAAAATAAAACACAGTGTACAGTGTGACCTTTTAATCAAAACACAGCATCACAGGTGGAGACCGAAATCTGTTGCTGTTTGTTGCTGCTGTTGTTTAACAGCTGATATAGGTATTCTGGTGATGCTACTGGGCTGCTTAGTTACACAGACTCAGGAATGGTGGTGACTCCAAACAACCACAGGTCACCACAGGAGTGGCTGAGATAGACACCTTTGCTTTCCGATGGTTCACTGTGCACAAACTTTGTTTCAGGTGCAAAATTATTAAAAATATTGTATACGATTTTTAAAAAGACAAAAATAGCACTGGAATACTGGAATATAGAAAATAATGCAATCGCGACTCCCTCTTCCCTGATCTTCAATCAAAGTAGCCTCTAAATCTTGTTAATCCAATTTCAGAGACATGCCATCCCGTCTAGAGATTCTGCTTTCTGAAATATTCTTGGTGCTAACATTGGAAGGCTTTGGTTCTGTTTTAAGAAGGAAAGCCATTTGCTTACATCTTTTCAGATGCTGCTGAAGCACAGCTCTAATTAGGTAGTCCTTAGGATTTATTGAGTATTTGCTATGTTTCAGGTCTCAGGCTCTACATAAACATTATCATATTTAACCTTCACAGCAGCCATTTGTAATAAATACTATCACTAACTCGGTTCTCTAGATTGGAGCAGGGCGGGGAAGCTTAGAAAATTCAGTATCTTGAAAAGTAAACACAGCTACTAAATGGCAGAACCAGGTTAGGAACCCAGGTCTGTTTGACTCTGGAGCTTGGGTCCTTAACCACTATCCTATTTTATCTTATCTGCTCAAAACCTAAGAGTGGGTGTCAGTAAAGTCCAAGAGACTATCATCACTTTACCTTCAAATGCCATTCCAGTTTTATTTTCTACTACTCCACCTTTATACATCTGATTTTCAGAGCATATGGAAGTATTTGCTGATCATCAATACACTCCCATATTTCACACTTCCATGCCTCTATTTATGTAAGAATACTTCCTCTGTTTCACTGGTTCCAGAAAAATGGAAATCTTTAAATCATTGTTTCATACAGTAATTGTCATGATTTTCATTAAAATAAGAGCCACTGATTTTTACTCTCATATAGATATTTTTTCCTAAACTATTTTCCTCTGAAGCATGTATGAAGATTAAGAGGTTGTTGAAATGTATTAGGCCTTTACAAATTATTCGTAAGTCCAAATCCTACAGAATTAGGATTCCAGATAATAGAAGTCATTCTACCAAAAGTCCAAGAAGTCTTTAGTGTCTCCCAAGATTATCTAAAATTAAAAAAAGAAAACCTAATAGGACAGAAATTTGGCAAGCAGGCAATCTCCTTTTGTAGTTGGAAGTGTCTCTTCTCCTAACAGGCAGAATTTTCAAAAAGTGAAATATCTGCTATGGAATAATTTAATGGGTTAAGAAAACACTGAGGCCGGGCGCGGTGGCTCGTGCTTGTAATCTAGTACTCTGAGAGGCCGAGGCGGGAGGATTGCTTGAGCTCAGGAGTTTGAGACCAGCCTGAGCAAGAGCGAGACCCTGTCTCTACTAAAAATAGAAAAAAATAGCCAGGCATGGTGGTGTGTCCCTGTAGTCCCAACTACCTGGGAGGCTGAGGCAGAAGGATCACTTGAACCCAGGAGTTTGAGGTTGCTGTGAGCTAGGCTGACGCCAGGGTACTCTCGCCTGGGCAAGAGAGTGAGACTCTGTCTCAAAAAAAGAAAACACTGAGAAAGGGATATTACCTTGAATATACAGTTGGCTTGGCTACAATATGGCTTCAGCCTTTTAATAAAGCAGTAGCTCTTCAGAAGATATTTAAAAGGAACATTTTCCAACTCACTTTAGGGGCTATCATTATCTTGATGTCAAACAAAGACAGTATAAAAGAAAGAAAACTATAGACTAATAGCCCTCATGAATATAGCTGCAAAAATCCTCAACAGATATTGGAAAATCAAATTCAGCAATATATTAAAAATATGTGATATAAATATATAAAATACATGATAGGATATATATAAAAAATATATGAAGACTAACACACCATGACAAAAATGCAAAGCTGGCTCAATATTTAAAAATCAGCCAGGTGCCTCAGTGCATACCTGTAGTCCCAGTTCAAATCCAGCCTGGGCAACCTAGTAAGATCCGATCTCTTAAAAAAACAAAACAATCAATAGACCCACAAAAATATAATCGACTGGTCCTTGACAAAGGAGCAAAGGCAATTCAATGGAGAAAGGATAGGCTTTTGAACAAATGGTGTTGGACCAATTGGACATTCACAAGCAAAAAAATAAGTCTAAACATAGCCCTAACACCCTTCACAAAAATTATCTCAAAGTGGATCACAGACATAAATGTGAAATGTAAAATTATAAAACTCCTAGAAGACAACAGGAGAAAATTTAGATGACCTTGGATTTGATGATGACTTTTTACTTTAAAAAAAAAATTTTTTTTTTTCAACACAGGCTTATCCAGGCTGGAGTGCAATGACGTGATCCTACGCTCACTGCAGCCTTAAACTCCTGGCCTCAAGCAATCCTCCCACCTCGGTCTCCCAAAATGCTGGGATTACAGACATGAGCTACCATGCCCAGCTTGATGATGACTTTTTAGATACCACATCAAAGGCATGACCTGGGAAAGAAAAAATTGATGTTGGACTTTATTAAAATTAAAAACTTTTGCTATGCAAAAAAAAAAAAAAACAAAACAAAACTTGCCAAGAGAATGAGAAGACACACCACAGACCAAGAGAAAATACTTGCAAAAGACTTATCTGATAAAGGTATGTTATCCAAACCGTAAGAGGAACACTTAAAATTCAACAATAAGATCCCACACTGTCTAGTGGTTAGGAAAGAAAAAAAATTAAATAAAATTTTAAAAGTTAGCCAGTGTGGTGGTGTGCACCTGTGGTCCCAGCCACTTGGGAGGCTGAGGTGGGAGGATCATTTGAGCCTGGGAGTTTGAGGCTGCAGTGAGTTATGATGATGTCATTGCATTCCAGCCTGGGCTACAGAGAGAGATCCCAGTCTCTAACAAAAAGAAAAAAAAACTGCTCTAAAATTAAAGCCTATTAATTAATTTAAAATTCTTTCTAAAAATCACTCAATGCAATCTACCATACTAATAGTCGAAAGAACAAAGGACCTATGATCATTATCAATTGATACAGAAAAAGCATCTGACAAAATGCAACATTCATTCATGATTTTTAAAAAACTCTGAGCAAACAAAGAACAGAGAGGAACTTCCTCAACCTGACAAAGGGCATCTACAAAAAACCTACAGCTAACATTATACCAAATGGTGAAAGGCTGAATACTTTCTCCCTAAGATAAAAAACAAGCAAGGATGCCCACTCTCACCACTCCTATTCAACATTGCACTTGAAGTTCTAGCCAGTACAATAAGGTAAGGAAAATAAATAAAAGGTATACAGCTTGCAAAAGAAGAAATAAAACAGATTCTGCTTGCAAATGACATAATTCTCTACATAGACAATTCCAAGAATTCTACAAAAAATTTTGTAGATGCCCTTTCCTCTCTTTTCCTTGTTTGCTGAGAGTTTTTTAAAAATCATGAATGAATGTTGAATTTTGTCAAATGCTTTTTCTGTATCAATTGATAATGATTATGGGTCCTTTCTTCTTTGGGCTGTTAGTATGGTAGATTGCATAGAACTAAAATGTGAGCTTATAAAGGGCACAGGATATGTGGTTAACAGAAAAACAACTTCATTTCTGTATACTAGCAATTACCAATTGGAAACTTAAATTTAAAATAATATTTATCATGGCTCCCCCCAAATTAAATATTTAATGTTTAAATCTACCAAAATATGCATATGATCTGTATGCTTAAAACTGCAAAATGTTAATGAAAGAAATCAAGGAATACCTAAATAAATGGAAAGGCATACCGTATTCATGGATTAGAAGACTGAACCTAGTAGTGATGCCAATTTTGCTTAAATTTATCTATAGATTTAATTCAAAACATTTTTTATTGATACATAAGAGTTGTACATATTTTTTTTTTTTTTTGAGACAGAGTCTCGCTTGTTGCCCAGGCTAGAGTGAGTGCTGTGGCGTCAGCCTAGCTCACAGCAACCTCAAACTCCTGGGCTCAAGCAATCCTGCTGCCTCAGCCTCCCGAGTAGCTGGGACTACAGGCATGCACCACCATGCCCGGCTAATTTTATATATATATTAGTTGGCCAATTAATTTCTTTCTATTTATAGTAGAGACGGGGTCTCACTCTTGCTCAGGCTGGTTTCGAACTCCTGACCTCGAGCAATCCGCCCGCCTCAGCCTCCCAGAGTGCTAGGATTACAGGCGTGAGCCACCGCGCCCGGCAAGAGTTGTACATATTTTTGAGGTACTTGTGATATTTTGATACATTAATATAACGTGTAATTATCCATTACTTTAAACATTTATCTTTTCTTCATGCTGGAAACATTTGAATTATTCTCTTCCAGCTATTTTGAAACATACAATAGACTATTTTTTACTATAATTACACTACTGATTTATAGAACACTAGCTCTTATTTCTTCTATCTAACTGTACTTTTTAAACCATTAATCAACCTCTCTTCATCCCCCCTACCTTTCCCAGCCCCTGGTAACCACAAATCTACTCTTTATCTTCATAGATCCACTTTTTTAGCTCCCCCATATGAGTGAGAACAGCTAGCAGAATTTTTTTGATCTAGACAATTTGATTCTAAAATTTATTTTGAAAGAGTAGCCAAAATAACTTTGGAGAAGAACAAAGTTGGAGTATTAATATTACTCTATTTTAAGATTTATTATAAAAATTACAGTATCCAACACAGTGTGGTATTGGCAAAGGTACAGACAGCTAGATTAATGGAACTGAATAGAGTACAGAAGTAGGTTTATACAAATATAGCCAATTGATTTTTACAAAAGTGCAAAAGTAATTTTATGACAAAAGATAGCCTTTGAAATATAGTGTTGGAACAACTGGATATCCACATATAAAAAAAAATGTAAACCCTTGTTCTAAATCTCATATGTTATTTTAAAAAAACCCTCAATGTACCTAAATGTAAAGCAGAAAACTATAAACATTTAGAAGAAAACATAAAGAGTTTTTTAGACATACCACCAAATACATGACCCATAAAAAAATTTGATAAACTAGATTTCACCAAAATGTAAAACTTTTGCTTTGCAATGACAGTATTAGGAAATGAATAGATAAACCACAGAATGGGAAAAAATGTTTGCAAATCACATATCCAACAAAGGACTTGCATCCAGAATATATAAATAATTCTCAAATTCAGTAGCAAGAAACAACCCAATTTTAAAAGGGGCAAAAGAATTTTTTTTTTAAGACAGGGTCACCCTCTGTCACACAGGCTGGAGTGAAGTAGTGCAGTCATAGCTCACTGCAGCCTCGAACTTTTGGGGCTCAAGTGATTCTCCTACCTCATTTCCCAGGTAGCTAGGACTATGGCATGTGCTACCACATCCGGCTAATTTTTTTTTAGTTTTAGTAGAGATAGAGTCTCACTACATAGACCAGGCTGGTCTCAAACTCCTGACCTCAAGCGATGCTCCCACCCCAGCCTCCCAAAGTGCTGGGATTATAGGATTGGGCCACCATGCCTTTCCAGGGGTAGCAGATTTGAACAGATATTTGACCAAAGAAGATATATAAAAGCAAATAAACACATTAAAAGATGTTTAAAATTATTATTAGCTACTGGGGAAATGCAAATTAAAGCCACAATGAAATACCACTACATACCTTTTAGAATGGCTAAAAACAAAAACTACACTAAACTAATATTAATAATATCAAGTTCTGGAGAAGAGGCAAAGCAACTGGACTACATTGTTGGTGGAAAATAATGCAATGCAAAATGGTACAGCCACTCTGGAAAACAGTTTGGTTGTTTTGCATAAAGTTAAACATATGTTTACACATGATCTAGAAATCCCATTTCTGGGTATTTACTCTAGAAATAAAAACATGTTCATGCAAAAACCTGTACAAGAATGTTTATAGCAGCTGTACTCATAATAGTAAAAAAAAAAACTGGAAACAACCCAAATGTGCTTTTGCAGGTGAATGTCAAAACAAACTGTGGTGGATCATATTTCATAAGATGAAATACCATTCATGGAATACTACTCAATGTTATGCTGAGTTAGAGAAGCCAGACACAAAAGAGTACATACTACTATATAATTCCATTTATTTGAAATTCTAGAGAAAGTAAAACTAATTTATAATGACAGAAAGCAGACCAGTGGTCGCCTGCAGATTGACTGGAAAAGGGCATCTTTGGAATGATAGAAATGTTCTATATCTTGATTGCCGTGGTGGTTACATGGTTGTATACATTTGTCAAACTCAAAGTTGAACAGGTACACATTTTATGACCTTGGTGGCTTACTTTTAGGTATAGAGCAATGTTTATCAAACTGCTGGTGGAGTCCTACTCTTAGTGAATCATCAAATCAATTCAGAGTGCCTGCCCAGAGAGGTATTTATCCTGAAACTAAGGAAGCTTAAGCTTCAGGCCCCCTGACTTGCAAAGCTTCTTCCAAGGCCTGGTTACTAATTTTGTATTCAGAATTTCGTCTTCTTTTTCTAAAGGGAGCCCTCAAATTGTATTAACTTTAGGTCCCACAAAACCAGGATCTGCCTCTGGGTGACCAGAATATTTTTTTAAAGGAATGGAATAGAAAATATGAGAGTGTTTTGCAAAACTTTTGTTTCAGTTTATATAATGGGTTAGGTTGTAAAATTTTATTTCTTACCAGAATTTGTGGTTTAAAAACACACATGCACACACAAAAAATTGGAAATTCTGGGCTGTGTAGAAATCTATGCACATGTGCACAAAGAGATGTGTACAAATCCAATGCAGCACTGTTTGTAAGAGTGGATATTTGGAAACAACCTAAATGCCTGTCAATATAAGTAAATATACCATAGTATATGTATGTATGTAGTAGAATTCTATATAGCTAAAAGGAGTGAACTAAATGCCACAAGCGCCAGGCTAGATAACTCTTATAAACACATTAAATTAAACAGCAGTTTAAGAAGGTAACCTAAAGCATGAGAGTATTTAGATAAAGTTTAAAACAATTTGGAAAACAATACTATGTCTGGTAAGTTTCTATGCATTGTTTCTAGATATAGTCATATCTAGAGAAAAAGTATTAAAACGTGCATGAGACTGAAAAAAAAACCAATATAGGACAGGATAGTGGTGATTTCTGGGGAGAAGAAAGGAGGGAGGGAATGACATGAGGGAAATATATGGGGCTTGGAATTTATATGCGTTTTTTCTTTCTTTCTTAAAGAATGGATTTGAGGCAAACAAGGAAAAGAATGGATGTGAGTCAAAAAGGTTAAAGAATAACAAGACTGATTGGTGGGTATGTGAATTTTTGCTATGCTATTCTGATTCTTTTCTGATTGTGTTGTATTCTGTATGCATATTATACAGACTTTGGTAATATGTATTATTTCATATTTGTATAGTGTGGACCTTTACAAATATCACCTACTTGGTCTTCACGATGGCCTTAGGAAGTAAGTGGGACAAAAATTTGTATCCCTATTCCGTAGAATAGGGACCTAAGACGTCAGAACAATTTATTAAGAGCTGGATTGGGGACTCAGCTGTTCCTTGTTCAGCCTAGATTTGCGTGGAAATCCACTGGAGACGTTTCCTTCAAGGCCAGGTGGCCTGATCCAGCCGGAGCGACCTCCTACACCCACTTCCCCCCACCCCCAACTTTGGGTAGGCACTTACTCAGTGGGGGAATGAATTGTATAGATAATAGCCAAATGTTTGTTTAAAAAGTATTCATTCTTGGTGCTAGGTGGGGACCTCCTAGAGTGACTAAGATGAGATGGATACATAGCTACAAGCCAATTCGCAGGAAGTGCGGACCTGTTCTCTACTCCTGGCCGTGGCGCACTGGCTCACTCAGTGTCCTTGCACAAATCACTTAACCTCTCACTACTTACTGACATTTACGTTCCGTAAACCGAATGTATAGTATGCACGACTGCGCACTCCTACGAAACACTTGGAAAATTAGAGAACGATTTAAAGTCACCAAAATGCAACAATGTCAACTTTCCAATACAAACTACATTCTTTGCGCCCCCCCCCATTCCTCAAAGACTTAATTTCACTCATTTAAATGGTGACGACCATTTTAAAGGACATGAAGTTGACCCTTTTGAAAAATCAGTAGCTTTTACATCACTAACATACCAATGTCTTTCGCTGTTAAAAAAAAAAAGAAAAGTTAAAACAATACCTACCTAGACAGACTAAAAAGAGGGCAGTTTATATTCTCTTGCCCTTCCGCCTGTACTGGCCTGCGAAGACCTTGGAAGCAAGCGTGTGTTCACCGTAAGGGTTAGAGCCTTGTTTTAGCCCTGGTAACGCCTTGGGGACATCTTTTTGAGTAGTATGGTATGGAAGAGGAGGAGAAACGGCGCCGCCGAGCAGCTCCGAATCCCGGAAAACCCAGGGAAAGGTAGCGGAGGAGCCCGCGCGTCCCAGCGCTCCCGACTCTCGCGGCGGGGTCGGCGCTGCCGGGGCGTTTAGGCGGAGACCCTGAGCCCCCGCGGCCGAGCGGAGCGCAGGAGCCACAGGTCCCTTTAAGGCGCCCGGCGAGCGGAGCGCGGCGAGCGCAGGGGGCGGGAGAAGGGCTGGCGAGCGCGCCACGTGACTCGGCTGCCAAGTTCGCTCGCGAGTTTGACAGGAGTTTGAATCGGACTCGGGGGCTTCCTGCTGCCGGCCGGGCACCGCGGCGGCCGCGGCCTCGGCGAGCGCGAGCTGCAGCAGCGCCCCGACACCGCACAGCCAGCCCGGGTCCCGGCGCGCCGACGGCCGCTCGCGCTCCGGCACCGCTCGCCTCCCCCGCCGCGAGCCGGCAGCCCCCCGCTCGCCCGCGGCTTCTGCCGCCTCCGGGCCAGCGAGCCGAGCCCCGGCGCCGCGCCCCAGCCCCGCCGCGCCAGCATGTCCTCGACCGAGAGCCCCAGCCAAACCGCCGACAAGTCGCCGCGTCAGCAGGTATTCCCCGCGGGCCCGCGGGGTCTCTCACCGCCCCCTCTAGGGGTCGGGCCTGACCCTCCCCCCGCGACCTGGCCCGGGTGCGAGCGGGAGAAAGGGGGCCGGCGCTTTCCCGTGGTTCCCACCGCCCTGACCCCTGGCCGGCTGTCTCCGCAGGTGGACCGCCTGCTCGTGGGGCTGCGCTGGCGGCGGCTGGAGGAGCCGCTGGGCTTCATCAAAGTTCTCCAGTGGGTGAGTCGCTGCCCCAGCCCCGGGCTATTTCTGGAGCCTGGGCTGTGACGCCGACCCGAAGTAATGTGGCCAGAGTGGGGGCTGGGGAGGTGCAGTGACCGGGCCACAGCGGAAGGGTGGGGGGCGGCGACAGGTGGGCGGGGGAGGGGCGGGCTAGGGCTGCTTCTCTGGGCTTGGTGGCAGAAGGGTGAGGAGCGAGGCATGTGGAGTCCCGGATTCAGTCCTTCTATGTGCAAGGAGCCTTTGCCCAGGGTGCTCACATTTCACCAGGGCGAGAGGACCCGGGTGTAACCTTTCCAGAACTCTGATCCTGCACATACCACTGCTTGGTGGCAGGAGGGGGGAGGACGACCAAGAGGACTAGGTCCGCTGTACACCAAGAAGAAAGCTGTGGAGGGCAAAGGAGGGAAGAAGGCAGGCGATGGAAACCCCATCCTGCCTCCAAACCCACCAGCACCTGGATAATCCTGGAGGTGGTAGACTGAGGGGATAGGCTCCCAATTCACAGTTCCTTGTTGAGGTCACTGGAGTAATCTGGGTTCCTGTAAACGAGTGAGGGAATGGACGAATGAATGAACATAGCTTATGGCTCTAGAATTACAGAAAAGAAAAAAATTAATATAAAAACCACAGCATGGCTAAGAGGTGGCATGTAGAATAAGATAAGGCACTGATCTAGGAAGCTGGGGAACTGGGTTCCGAACCTGGACCTGCCTTTTCCAGCTGTGTTACCTTGGACAATTCACTTGTCTGGACTTCGGTTATTTAGTCAGATGTTGATCATCCCTAGGGCCTCCTTGTGCCTTGAATGGGTTGCCATGCTACAATATAGCCCTAGGTTAGACTTACGCTGTGACCTTGAAAAAAATCACTTGCCTAGGTCCTCAGTTTCCCCTGTTATGGTCTAGTGGAAATACCATCTCAGCTTCACTGATATTTCGAGACATTGAAGTGATCTCTGTTCTTCAGTACCCAAGGCCTCCTGGGTGTAAATTAGGAATGTGGACAGTTGTAGTCACTTTCTCAAGTCATAAAGACTTGTTGGGGGCATTTAGTGTACTACTGCAGAAGAGATTTTTAAATTAGACAATCCACATACCAGTGGATAACTCAGTTAATGTCCTCTCAGCACATAGTTCAGCTAGGGAATGTTACCATTAATACTGAGAAGGATTGAGTTCTAAAGGGCTTTGAACTCACTGGAGACAAGAATGAGCATTGTGTCACCAATTTCTAAATCATAGTTTGGATGAGAATCAAATGGAATTCAGGGGCAGTAGTGCATTTGGGATTGTAAGTCCAGTCTGGGAGCTCCCAAGTGCAAACTCTGGGACCTGATGCGGAATTTCCACTTTCACTGCTGCCTCAAGGGCAGTTGGACTAACTCCTGACTGAACTCTTTCACTGCTGGCGACTTCCCTGTTCTGACTGACCACTCAAGTACCAGAGGGGGCCATATAAGAATGATATTAAGGCTCTGAGTGACTGGCATCCAAAACAAGGAGAGCCATTATGAGCCATCCAGAGGAGCAGAACCTGAAATGTAAGAGACCAATTTTACCATTCTAGACAAATGGTTCTAATGGAATTTGAGACAAGCTGTCTAGGGATGAGGGAAACAATGAGGTTCTTAGACGATAGACTCATCTTCCCTGGGGAGATTCTGAAAAGCTTCCTTCTTTGATGGTGCTATCCTTTCCTCCACTCCCCTCACCCCCACCACCACCACCAACATTTCTGTTAAAGCTGCACAAAGCAATGCCTAGTGAATTGATCTGGTCTCCTTCCAGGGTCAGCACTGATGCCCTAAGAATTAAGACCTATTCGACACTTATGATCTTCAACTTCTTAGAAATGGGGTTATGTAAAACAGAGACCCCTTTCTCTCAGAGGGGATCCTTGGGGCCTGTGCTAGACTCTGAACTTGACCTTCATTCACAGGGTGGCATCATAAGGAGATATGATTTGCTTTTACTGCCTTCCCGGATAGCCTGAATTCAGGACATGACTTTCTTTCACTTGCTTTGAAGCTCTGCAGATGAGGTAACATAAAAGTACACAGGGACCAGCACCAGGAATGACAGTGGAAATGTCATTTGCGTTTTCCCCTCATTTCTGCTTGCTCCTGACTGGAGAAGGAAAAAAAGAAAAAAGAAATCTTGCAGTTACTGTAATGGTTATTGAAAACTTTTGTTGTCATTATTACCAAAAAGCAAAGGTTTTACTGGAATCCTTGTGAAAAGAAAGTAATGTTATTCTTTTATTAGTCAGGAGCTTAGCTTAGAGTGTCTTTTTAAAATTGAGAAATTAACTAATCTCACCTCAATTTCAGTACTGGAATCTCACTAAGTCTATAATAAGCTAGCAAAATAACCTGAGCATATACCAATTATTGGAGAAGTAGTTTTTCAAACAAGAAAAAGGCAAACTTTGAGGTCAGAAGGGCTTTGATTGAAATTCAGTCCCGTCTGCTTTCCAGCCCTGGAATCTTGGGTAAATGATGAACTCTTTATGGGCCTCAGTTTCCTTATCTGTAAATGAGGGCAAGACCTATTTTATAGGTTCTCTGGGAGGGGTCTACAAGGTATATATCTGTAAAGCTGGAACACTCTGGGAGACCACAGTGAGCCTGGCACTCCAGGAGGTATTCAGTAAGTGTTGGTTCCCTTCCTTTCTGTTCCTGAACCTCCCTTTTCCCCTAACTTTCCCCCTTTATGCAGATTGTCCAGCAAGACTTGTCCTTTGGTGGGATTATTCAAATGTCACTGCCAAATCCTCAGTTTGATGGTAAGGTACAAAAGAATCTCTGAGAGACTTAGCCACCATTTGCTTATAAATAAGTCATATTACCTTTAGCTGGGTGTGCCTCTGATCAACAATTCACCTTTAGGGCACCAGAGTCACTTATTTGGGTCTGAGGTCTTTGTAATGAAAATAAATTATTTAAATGCGTGTAGGGAATTTGAACACCATCAGAGTCCATAAAACCAAAGAGATAATTGTGGGGGTAGGATCTGAGGAGAGAACTTGTCTTTCTTATGCTTTGCACTAACTGGTGATGTTAATGTTAGGACTGACACAGAATTATCACCAGCAAGCAAAGCAGCACCAAAGTGGAGCCTCATCCTTAAACTGGGAAGATTATTCTGACATCTTTGCAAAAGAGATGCAGAGGCAAGAGGAGAAAGAGATAGAGGGCAGAGTGTGACCCTTGATTGCTGTTTCAAGCAATGCAAGTCCAAGAGGAAGAAGGCTGGGTGGCAACAGAACTCTAGAACTCCTTTTGTCTCAGGGCCTCTATCTTGCCTTGGCTGCTGTTCTTTATGACTAGTTTGCTCATCTCAGAGCCTTGTACTTGGTAACAGGGGTGGTCTCAGTTCTTTCCCTCTCTTCCCTGTGGCTCAATCACCTGGTAGAGTTAGGGAAGAAAGCAAATTGTGAAGAAAAGTGGAGAGTTAGGGGCCATAGAGTTGGGGAGGAGAGGGTATCTTTCTCTGCTCCTGTACCTGAGGGAACAGAGCGACTCCCCTCCTTGTGGTCCTCAGTGCAGATGGTAGAGATCTCTTCTTTAGCCTTTTTTTTTTTGAGACAGAGTCTCACTTTGTTGCCCAGGCTAGAGTGAGTGCCGTGGCATCAGGCTAGCTCACAGCAACCAGACTCCTGGGCTCAAGCAATCCTGCTGCCTCAGCCTCCCAGGTAGCTGGGACTACAGGCACGCGCCACCATGTCTGGCTGATTTTTTCTATATATATATTAGTTGGCCAATTAATTTCTTTCTATTTATAGTAGAGATGGGGTCTCACTCTCGCTCAGGCTGGTTTCGAACTCCTGATCTTGAGCAATCCACCCCCCTTGGCCTCCTAGAGCGCTAGGATTATAGGCGTGAGCCACCGCGTCCGGCCTCTTCTTTAGCCTTAATAACTCTGTGATACAGGACTTTGTTTTGTCATTTGTTTGTGTTAACATGACACTCCTTTCTTGATATGAATTCTTGAGAGCAAGAGCCAAGTATTATTCATCTTCATATCTCCAACACCTGGCACAAGGTAGATGCTCAATAAATGATGGCCAGGCATGGTGGCTCACACCTGTAATCCTAGCACTTTGGGAGGCTGAGATGAGAGGATTGCTTGAGCCCAGAAGTTTAGGCTGGAATGAGCTATGATCATGCCACTGCACTCCAGCCTGGGTGACAGAGTGAGAACTTGTCTCTAAAAAAAAAAAATAATGTTGAATGAATGAATGAAGAGGAAAGAGCACTGGACAGGGAATCAGGAGATGTGAATTCTAAGCCTGGCTCTTACATTAGCTAAATGTGACTTTGGAAAAGTCACATCATCTTTTGAGGCTTCAGTTTCCATCTCTGTGAAGTGAGACTGGGCTTGATAATCTCTGAGATCTCTTTTGTTCTGGTGCTCTATGAATCTGTGCGATTCCACTCAGGTTTCCCCATTTTGCACTTTCATAGCAAACTGTTATCTGGCACCAGCTGGCTGTATAGCATTTAGGTTTGAACATATATGCTGGTAAATAAAAAATTATCATATATGTAAGATATTTAGAAATTCCTGACTTTAAAATAATCAGAATAGAAGAGAAAAGTTAATACTTAAGTTATTATGGGCATATTTTGTCTTCTGAGGAACCAGAAAGCAGAGTTCGGGATTGTCGGAACTCAGGACCAACGTTTAGACGAGCAGAACTTTTGGTGATGATAGAAAAGTTCTATAATCTGCGCTATCTACTATAGTATCGGCTAGCCACATGCGGCTATCAAGCACTTGGAATGTAGCTAGCATGACTCAACTGAAATTTTAATTTGATTTAATTTCAATAGCCATGCTTGGCTAGTGGCTACTATTTTGGATAATGCAGCTCTAGAGTATGAGCTCCATGAGCACAGATTTTTTTTTTTCTCTTTTGTCCACTGTTAAATGATTGTACTTGTAACAGTGCCTGGGACATAGTAGATGCTCTATAAATGTCCTCTTTTTGTAGATGTTCAGGAGTGCCTGTCAATAGGGTGCTGGTGAAAAGAAGACAGCATAACTGACTGTTCACCGCCCTCAAGTTATGAGTACTTACTTTCTTAGGGGACCTACAAGGAGCCATTCACTGACTAACTGCCAGTGGGTAAAAATACATCCAACTGTGCTGCCCTTCCTAGAATGTGACACCCTAATTGTGTCCAGTTCTGGGCACCAGAATCTGAGAGGAATAAAGAACTTGAAGACCAATCAGAGAGCCACAGAGCTGACAAAAGATTAGAGAATTCCTGGAGGAAAAGCTAGAGAAGTTCCACTGTTAGGCCAGTGAGGCAATTTTGAGTTCGTAAAGGGTAATGAGGGAGAGGCTTTGAGTGACTTCTCTCCAGCTCCGTCAAGAGGTGAGCAGACAGGGCTCTGACAGACTCCATAATTTAATTCGAGTGAGAATGTCATGTAGGCATTGGAGGCATTATGCTGTCTTCTGTCCTGGATGTCTTTAAAACTGGAGACAATTCTCATTGGTCTGGAATAAAACTCCTGGAAACAGAGAGGTGCCCGTTATGACCTTTAGAGAGAGGTCAGTTGATCTAGCGTGGAGATCTGCCAGGCCAGGCGATGCAAGGCAGGGCAGTGGCACTGGACACCTCCCAGGGGCAGAGCACAGCTGATGGCAAGCCGGGCCAAGAGCATACTGATAGCATTGCATTACTCACAGAGAGTGAGAGAATTCCAGAGCTGGAAAAGGCCTCCAGGTGATCTACTCCAAACCCCTCATTTTACAGATGAGGAAACTGAGACTTAGAGGGCAGAGGGACTTATGAGAGCTCACTTGGCTAATTAGCGACAGGGCCAGGACACGAACCAAGAGTTGCAGATTCCTAATCCAAGTCCCTTTTCACTCCATAAAACTAACAAGCATTAGCAAAATAAAGTGCATGCAACTCCATTCAGACTCTGGATGCAGGACTGGGGTGTAGATTAGCTGTCTTCTAGGTGCTTGATGTCCAAGACACTGAGTCACAGAGAAACATACAGAAAATAAATAAGAGAATCAGCTCGCTGCTTAGTAAGAATGATTACATTGTGTATAAGCCAAAGATAAATGCACAGGAAACTGGGCTTGAGCAGATGATGTGGGAGGATAAGAGTTTCCAATTTCTCAGGTCCTTTTCTGGGAAACTTTCATGTTTCCCAGAAAGAAATTTGAAAATCACAGGATGAGGAAATTTTATTTCACTCAAGACAAGAGGTGTCATAAAATGTGATGAAAGGTGGAGAAGAAAGCAATTCAAGCAATCTGAAATGCCTCTGGTCCTTAACACTGAGAAATGGCAGTATCAACAGATGACAAAGGGAAACACCAGTGGGGAAAGAGTGGAGATTGATAAGGGAAGTGGAAGGTACTTTTCTCTGGGCTCCAGCCAGCACTGAGAGCATAGGCCTAGCCAGCGCTATTGCTGGAAGGAAATGTGCCTTTGGGGGAAGAGGAATTAGGCTGGCAGTACTATGGGACAGCAGCATGGCCCCTTCTTGATGGAAGTTGTCCCCTCCAGCTATACCTCCACAGAGGCAGGAAACCACTGGAAGTTAGTAACAAGGAATGAGATCAGATGAGTAGATCAAAGGAGAAATGAAAAGCATTCCAGACGTGCCTGATCTAGATTGGTGCAGGGGAATCTATTTCTGAGGGTTCCTCTCCTTTGGGGAGGAAATTCAAGTCTAGCTTTGAGCTAGAAGTTTTCAAAAGCCTGGAATAGCCGAGGTTTGGTGTTAGTCATCATCTTAAGGAGGCTACCTGTGGTCCCCAAGGAGGCCCTGTTTATTTTCTGTTTCTTCATCTCCCTCCCTCTCAGACACCACTCAAAGTCAACCTTATTCATTTGGCTATTTAGTTCAGCATGCTGTGCAATGAACACAGCACCCTGAAGCTGGAAGGCAAATGGAAACCATGGGTCTCTGCCCAGGAGGAGCTTCATTAAAGGGAATCCTCATTCCCTCTGACTCCCACCCTCAACATCTGCACCTGCTGAAAGTCAGGGGGTGGTTCATTACCTTGGCCAGTTGAGGCCTTCTGACTCTGAAAGAGGCTTTACTCTCTCTCAGCTCTTTGCTATTTTCGCCTTCGGGTCCTGCGGCTCCTACAGCGGGGAGACAGGAGCCCTGGTTCGCTGCAACAACGAAGCCAAGGATGTGAGCTCCATCATTGTTTCGTTCGGCTATCCCTTCAGGTGAGCCTGAATTGGTCCTGACCCCGCACAGCCTCTCTCTCTGGATGGGCAGGACCTGCTTGGTCTCTTCCTCCTCCAGAAACCTAAAGACCACTTGTGTGCCACTCCAGATTCATATAGAATTATAAGACTTGGGTCCTTTCTGCCGTTTAGCAATTTCAGACACACTGACCAGAGAAAATCATAAGAGAAGCACAGATCGTTGTTAGGATAGTGTGCCAGTCCATAGACGAGCAATGGCAGGTCACACTGGCTCAGACAGAAAGAATCCATGCAGTTTGGTATGGAGGCGTACAAGGGTCTGGGCAAGTTGGGCAGGTCTCTCTGACCCTCAGCAGCCTCCTCTTTGCCTTGAAGGTAAGGAAGTAAACAGTCGAAGTGAGATGCTCACCTGGTACCACCAGAATACAAGGAGGCACATCTTGACCAGGAGGTAGAAAAGAATACTCTCTTCTGGGTATTTGGGAGCTTAGGGAGTAGGGAGCTTAAATGTTCAGAGAAGAATGGATCAGGGCTTAGCTTTTCAGAAATTTCTAGTATCAGCACCTAAGTTAGATTAACTGTCTCTTGTACATAATAGGCTGTGGTTTTCTCTTTATTTTGTCTAATATAGTCTCATTGGAGAGCCTAAATAAGGCAAGAGGATGGGTGGTTCCCACCTTAACTTGCCACTGCAGGCCTGTGCTTTCCAGGGGCAGAATGAAGCTGATCTGCCTGGTGGTCTGGCTACCCACAATAGAAGAACTACATATATTGTGTGGTGCCCTAAAGGGCCTAGGAGATACTTGGAAATACATGTCTAGGCAGGGTAGATGAGTGTGGAGTGGTGGCTGAGGGTTTGACTGGAACTCTGGGAAGTACCTGTCTTGACTGCAAGGTTCCCTCCAAAAATATTCATTCCTACATGACCCACCCCTTTCTTCGCTCTGTAAGAGTCTCGGGGTGAGAGCTAGCACAGGACTACTCCTGGGGCAGGGAGAAAGAAGACTGCTTGAGCTCAGGATGTCCTCCCCTGCCACCTCTAGGTTGCACCGGATCCAGTATGAGATGCCCCTGTGTGATGATGACTCCACCTCCAAGACCATGCATCTCATGGGGGACTTCTCTGCCCCTGCTGAGTTCTTTGTGACCCTTGGCATCTTTTCCTTCTTCTATACCATGGCTGCCCTGGTCCTCTACCTGCGCTTCCACAACCTCTACACGGAGAACAAGCGCTTCCCACTGGTGGTGAGTGAGCATGGCCAGGAGGAGTCACGCAGAGAAACTGAGGAGATATTTATTGGGGGCTGAGGTCAGAGCTGGAGGGGAGGGCGTACAGGTGGCTTTCCTGGGTCCCTGACACAGGGAGATGTGGAACCTCTGCTTCTGTCAACCTCCTGTCACTTGCTCCTGTGAGCAGGAGGCACGATAGTAGCATAAAGAAACAGGCTCTGTGGCCGGGCGCTGTGGCTCACACTTGTAATTCTAGCTCTTGGGAGGCCGAGGCGGGCGGATTGCTCAAGGTCAGGAGTTCAAAACCAGCCTGAGCAAGAGCGAGACCCCGTCTCTACTATAAATAGAAAGAAATTAATTGGCCAACTGATATATATATAAAAAAAAAAATTAGCCGGGCATAGTGGCGCATGCCTGTAGTCCCAGCTACTCGGGAGGCTGAGGCAGAAGGATCACTGGAGCCCAGGAGTTTGAGGTTGCTGTGAGCTAGGCTGACGCCATGCCACTTACTCTAGCCTGGACAACAAAGCGAGACTCTGTCTCAAAAAAAAAAAAAAAAAAAAAAAAAAAACAGGCTCTGGCTTGAGGGCGGTGGCTCACACCTGTAATCCTAGCACTCTGGGAGGCTGAGGCAGGTGGATTGCTCAAGGTCAGGAGTTCGAAACCAGCCTGAGCAAGAGCGAGACCCCCGTCTCTACTATAAATAGAAAGAAATTAATTGGCCAACTAACATATATAGAAAAAAATTAGCCAGGCATGGTGGTGCATGCCTATAGTCCCAGCTACTTGGGAGGCTGAGGCAGAAGGATTGCCTTAGCCCAGGAGTTTGAGGTTGCTGTGGGCTAGGCTGACGCCACGGCACTCTAGCCTGGGCAAAAGAGTGAGACTCTGTCTCTAAATAAATAAATAAATAAATAAGCAGACTCTGGAGTTAGACTGCCTGGTTTCAAATCCTAGCACTATCCTTACTAGCTGTGTGATCTTGGACAAGATATTCAGCCTCTCTAAATCAGTTTCTTGAACTATAAAATGGGGATAAAATAATACCTGCCTTATAGTGATTTTTGGTGATAAAATGAGAATGCATGTAAAGTATCTGGTACATCTTGGCTGAATCTTCTTACCTGTCTTTTAAAAAAAATGTATCAGGTACATAGCCTCAATAAGTCATAGCTATTATTAATATTTTTCTTCTTTAGTCTCTTCCTATTCCAGGCATGCAAGGCAGAAGGGGTGCCTTAGGGGACCCCATTTGCCTTCTGTAGTCTGCCCACTGCTGCCACTTGTAGCTGAGCAATGGTAAAGCTGGGAGTTTGGGCCCCACTCTTGGGGTGAATGGGTTTTGGGGGGAGGCTGACCAGCAGATGCCATGGTACATTTGGTACATTGTTACCTGAGGGCACAGGCAGCCTGAATGGCAGGACTGCTTTGGTGGCAGTGAACAGATTCCTCAGGACAGTCTGGGTCCCCTGATTCCCCTGATGACCTGGGCTCTAGGTGTTGGGTAGGATGTGAAGAGGTGGCTGTCCTGAGACCCCTGCGTTCTACATCAGGGCAAGAGGAAAAGAGGGAAAGAAATGGGGATTCATAGGGCCTTTCTGAGTGTACTTCCCATCCCTTTGCTCCTCCCAGGACTTCTGTGTGACTGTCTCCTTCACATTCTTCTGGCTGGTAGCTGCAGCTGCCTGGGGCAAGGGCCTGACTGATGTCAAGGGGGCCACACGGCCATCCAGCCTGACGGCAGCAATGTCCGTGTGCCACGGAGAGGATGCAGTGTGCAGTGCTGGGGCCACGCCCTCCATGGGACTGGCCAACATCTCCGTGGTGAGACTGCAGCCACTGAAGGGGTCTGGGGTGGGGGCAGTACTATCCCAGCTGCCCAGGCCTGTCCTGGCCAGCAGGTGCTGAGAGGAACAGAGAGAGTGTCCCCAGAGCTGGTATCCCCTGCACCTGCAGCTGGTTCCCACCCTGCACATGATGCTGGCTGCTGGCCCCTGGCTGACCCTGAGAAGACATCTGAGATGAGGGGGACCTGAGAGCCATTTAGCCTCCTGTTCCTTCCTCCTTCTGCACTCTGCCTCCCATTTCCCTTCTTGTCTCCCCACCTCTAGGCATGCTCTCTGTGCTGTCTCCCGCTCATCCTGCCTGTTTTACACGGTGTGTGTGTGCACATGTGAGCACATGAAGTGGGGCACAGGGCTGTGGCTGAGCTCCAAGCTGGGAGCAGACCCAGAGTGAGGGACAAGGGGCTCACTGCTGCTTAGTCCTCCAGACTGGAAAGGAGCTTTGGGACACTGGTAGGCCCAACAACTGGTATGCATATGTTTGGCCATCCCAATTGTTAGAACCTTGAAATACATCCATATCAGTTGGTAAATAGCTGAGACCTTGAGCTTCTCGAATGCTGCCTGTCATCCCAGCCACCTCAGCTCTGCTCTGAAAATGACTTGGACCTCCACAAGGCCCACACCTAAAATGTTTAATGGCTGGCATGCTGGGAAGCCTTCCGAAACTTGCTACAATCCTGCTGATGGATTTTTCCTTCCAACATTTTATTGTAAAAATTTTCACATGTACAGCAAAGTTGAAAGAATTTTACAGTGAACACCCACATACTCACCACCTAGACTGTGCCATTAACATTTTACTAGACTTGCTTTATCACATATCTATTCACCTCTCCATCAATCCATCTTTGTTTTTTGTCATTTTTTATTTATATATTTTTAAATTTCAAAATATTATGAGGGTACAAATGTTTTAGTTGCATAAATTGCCTTAGTACCATTCAATTCAAAGTTATAAGTGTGCCCATCACCCAAATAGTGTGCATTGTACCCGTCCCTTCTTCCCCTCCACCTGCTGGATTTCTGACAAATGTTATTTCCATATGTGCACATAAGTGTTGCTCAATTGGTCCAATTTAATGGTGAGTGCATGTGGTGTTTGCTTTTCCATTCTTGTGATACTTTGCTTAGAAGAATGGTCTCCAGTTCCATCCCAGTTAATACAAGAGGTATTAGTTTACCTATGTTTTATGGCTGAGTATTCATCTTGTTTTTAATGCATTACTAAGTTAATTGGAGACATCAGAATGGTCTCCAGTTCCATCCCAGTTAATACAAGAGGTATTAGTTTACCTATTTTTTATGGCTGAGTATTCATCTTGTTTTTAATGCATTACTAAGTTAATTGGAGACATCAGCACACTTTTCCCTAACTACTCTCTGCTGTTAGGTTTTAAAATAATTTGGATAAATATTTGAATATAGCCCTGGCTGGGTCCCTGGTCATAGGGAAGGAGCACCTTGGACAGCTCCTGCCACACCCACCTGGCAGAAAGTGCTCCTAACAGGGCCCCACCTGTGCTGTGGGAAGCGCCTTCGGCTGACCCTTGGCTCCTTGCTATGATTTGCATGGTGCTTCGCTCTAGGCCAGATTCTGCTAGTGACCAAGCTATATCTTGGGTGCATGGTGTGGACAGAGTTAGATACTTTCACCAGGGATCCCCATAATGGATGATGGCCTTGAACCCTGCTTCTATATCCAGTTATTTGTCTTTTGGTCTTTCTAGCCCTCTGTGCTTCTTCCCTATCCCCTCACTACTACCACAGGAACTTCCCCCTGCCCCATCCCACAGTGCCCCCTTACTATTCTCACAAACTCCCCCGATGTCTTTGCAGCTCTTCGGCTTTATCAACTTCTTCCTGTGGGCTGGGAACTGTTGGTTTGTGTTCAAGGAGACCCCATGGCATGGACAGGGCCAGGACCAGGGCCAGGGGCCCAGCCAGGAGAGCGCAGCTGAGCAGGGAGCAGTGGAAAAGCAGTAAGCAGCCCCCACCTGGCTACTCCCGAACTGGACAGCACCTCTTCAACCACCTCCGGCTTCCAGGACCTCCCTCTTCCTCCTTGTCCAATTCCCCTCCCCCGTCATTCTGGGCTTTGAGCTTTGAGACACTGATGGGCAGGCGTCAGCTGTTGGAAACCTGGGCAGCCCTCCCAGTGGCTTCCTATCCCTCTTTTTGCTGGAGTCATGGATAGCAGGAACTCAGTGCTTCTTGTCCACTGCCTGGACCCAGGCATCTGACTTGGGGTCTCACTTGTGCCCTAACAGCCTTTGAGAACCAGCCTGCACTGCAGGTGAGGGTTGGGAGCAGGAAACTGGAGATCTGAGCCTGGTTCCTAGCAGCTACCTTTATATCAACCTGTCCAGCTTCAATAATAGTGGGGGGAAGGGAAATCAATGGGTAGCCTTCCCCCTGGTCCCTTGTGTGGAAGTCCCAGCAGTGGCTTGGTGACCCTTCCCCAGTGGCTGTCATCTAGTCCCTGTGTTTGAGCTCCAGTCAGCCCAGGGCTCAGTGTGCTTCCCACTATCTTTTCTGGCCTCTGCTTGCCCACAGGGTCCATCATATGTTAATGACGGTGCCAAACTGGCCTAAACAGTTCTTTAGAGGGTCCTGATGAGGCTTGGAGTCATCCAGGAGCAGATAAATTGCAACTTAGTTGCAACTTCAAGAAACCAAAGCCTGCAAACTTGCAGCAGAATCAGTTTCTTGTATCCCTTCAGTCCTCCTACCCCCAAGGCTGGGGTACTTCCCACCAACACTCTAAACTCTACTTATGCTAGAAACCTCCTACTTTCCTCCCTGTCCTTGGGCTTGGTCTCACACTTGGGACACAAGATGTGAGGTCTAGGACCCACTCACCTACCCCCAACCTCTCTGTCCATCTCCCTTCCCCAGCCTTGTGCGTCTGAGGCATTCAAGATCTTTTTTGCAGTCTGTCCAGGCCTTCATTTTATTCCTGTGGGCCAGATAGGGGCTTTTAAAGGGCCCAAAGAACCTTCATGAGGCTAAGCTGCCCCAGAGCCCCAGGACATAGGTGGGGCCCATTTCTTCCTTACTCCCTGCTCAATTTTCTTTTCCTGCTCCCTCTCTAATCCTTCTTTCATATTTGCCCTTCTCGTCTTTACAAAAGGATGTGCCCCCTCTCTCTTTGCCCTACCATTCCTTAGAGTCCTCATTTCTCCCTCTATCCGCCCCACCCTAGTCCAGGGCTGGCCGATGCTATTGGTGCTTCTTCACTTTGGGACCCAGTTCCATATTTGTCTTTGGTGTGTCTCCTCTTCCTGATACCTCCTTCAGTCCCTCTCTGGACCCCAAGGCCTAAGAGCCAGTGCTCCCTGGGTAAGGACCATTCACCTCCTACCCAGCTTGAAACACCTCAATTAGCCCTGGCCATGGGGCTGCCTAGGGAAGGATGAAGAGGTACGAATCCAGCCATTTTCCAATTTAGTGCCAACTGGTCCGCTTAGCATCCCAGTGGTGACTGTGCCCTGTGCCAGTCTTTCCTCAGGACTGAGTCAACCCCTTCAACCTCCTCACCTCCCTGAACACCACCCATAGTATAATAACATGTGCATTCCTGGGGTACCCAGGGGTCAGAACCTTTGACTCCAGGCTAATCATTTCCTCTTTGGGTCAGTTTCCCCACTTGACAGAGGAAGTATGAGATTTATATCCCCAAATGCTCCAGAGTCCTTCAGTGAAAGAATTAAGTTTTTCATTTTGTTTTTTAGATTTTGGGGAAGGGATTTGAGGTGAGAAGAAAGAAGATGGGGTGAGAGTATTTCTAAGTCTGAAACTCTCTCTCTCTCTGTCCTGAGCTGTCCCCGTGATTACTCAAGGACAAGGGGGGGACAGTATTGCCTATGGCTTCAGAGACACAGAGAACAAAGGGGTGACCTTTATTTGTCTTCAGGCCAGCCCCTGTTGGGGTCTGTGAGCAGCTTCTACTGGAACTTTGTTTGGATTCTATGTCTATATTTATAATTTATTTGAAATGTGCTAAATAAATTGTTCTCATTTGGAGGCTGAAGTTAGCAACTGGCCCCGAAGCTAGGGAAAGGGGTGTATATACACTCTTGCCAAGGACTCCCAGCCCAGAACTTTCCCTACAGCAGAGAAGTCTCTTTCTCCTTCTCCTCAAGAGGCTGTTTTATTCTTGGCCAGAAGAGCCTTGATGTAGGCTATGGCCTCTCTCTCCATGGCCACCCTAAGAAGAAAGGCCACTTCACCTTATTACCTCTAGAGGGCTGGGCTGGGCCAAGTGCAGAGGGCTGGGCTGTCCTCATGGGACTCATGTCTCCTTCAACCAGGGCTGGCATCACCGTTTTGCCTAGTGGGGCCTGAGGTAGAAGAAGGTGTCTGGTTTCCTAGCTACTGCAGGAGGCCAACAGCAGGGCACTTGCCCTTTGCCTCCGTAGACCTGCCAGGGTGCCCACCTAGGACCTTTCCTGGACACGAGTTCCCTCTAATATCATGGTCATGAGTCTCCTATTTCTGGGATTGCAGATCAGGGGTGGGGGGAGAATGTTGCATGTTGTTTTCTGGTGCTTGTTATTACACATTTGAATAAACAGTGCTGTGAGTATTTGCCATGAAAGAGCCAAGAGTGTATAGCCCTTCTGGGAATTTTTTTTCTGTTCCCCTCCCTTGCTTTAACTTCTTGGACAAATATCAGCATTTCCACCAAGACATCAGTCCATTCCTCTCCACTCTGTACTCCAAGCAATAGAGTCTCCTGGCTGAGTAGTTGTTTCTGGCAGGTCCCAGTCTGGTGACATCTCCTCTTTTGGTGGCACCCAATTAATCCAGAGTAACTGGGACTCATTAGCAAATCTGGAGCAAACTCAAAAGGTGAGAGGTAGTGGCTTCCACAATGCTGTTTCCATTTGCTCTCCTACCATCTGTGACCCAAAGAAGCTTCCTGTCAGGAGTTAAGGGCCATATGCTTCACTCTCTTAACTATAAGGTTCTTGCTGAACATACTTGCACCTCTATTCCACCTCAGACAGCCTCACACTACATTTACTTTCCCTAGCAAAATACACGTGGGCACAATTATACATTCAGTTTCACCAGATTCCTGGACCTCCCAGGGATCATCTATAATTCTCAGGTTAAGAGTTTCTACCCTCAGAGATTATCCTTGAAGTACTTAAACCTTCCCTGGATGAAAAGAAGAGAGTCTAAGGTCTTAAAGTCATAGACCTTGACTTATTTGCTTCCAAACTAGGTTTCCCCTTAGCTAAAGGGATGAGTATGGAGTTAAATGAGAGGTGTTGAGGAGAAAAAAAGGATTAGTATTTCTTTTCTAATGTGATTGGGGGAAAGAAGGCAGGCTTTTGTCTCTTGATTGTGTGACGGTAGGAAGAAATGGTATCAGCTGAGAAGAAGAAAGAGGTAGCTGATTAAGGTACTTTCCAGACCTTAGCAAGGAAAATGACAGATTTGATAAGCAGTCTCCCTATGCCGAGGATTCGGTAGCAGCCCTTCCAGCAGAGAAAATATTCATTAGAAAAAGAAGCCAAAGTGATGGATGGAGTCAGAGTCCAGCAGGGTTTGGGAAGAGGCAGTACAGGCTATTGATCGCAGTTCTCAGGAGGAGAGAGACGAGCAGCAAACATGCAGCAAACACCAGCAGCCTCGGGCCACCCCAGTTCCGGGGCTGGCTCTGGCTCGGAGATAGCCTTCTGTCATCCTGACAGGTGATCCCGCTCAGCTTAGCCAAGTCCTCCCAAACCCAGACAACGCCACTGCAACCCTCTGCTCTGCATCAGGGCAGTGTGGGTTTCCCACAGAGGAGGCAAGACACGGGAGCCGAGGCCCTCCCCCACTCCAACCCCTGTGTCCTTCAGCACATCCTACAGACTCCCTCCCCTTGCCCTTCTGATTCACAGCGCCCACCTCCCTGCACCTACCCTATTCGATCTACAGGGGAGCGGAGTCGCTTCGTGGCCGCCAGCCCGGGAAGGGGCGCCAGCCAGCTGGCGGACGCACGGCTTAGAGGGGCGTCTGGGCAGAGAGAGGTTTGGGGCTGGAGTGCGTGGGCAGTGAGCTTGGGAGAGTGGACTGGTAGCACAGATAATGTGTGCACAAGGGTTAAAAGAGGAGATCCTGGGGCTTTGGTCTTCTCTTTTGCCCCTGCAATTGTGCATTTCGGAAGGGCTCTCGCTGCATGCTCCGTAGGCAATAGCGCCCTCTCGAAGACTACATTTCCCAGAAGGCAATGCGTGAGAGAGGGGGAGGGGAGAGGCAACCTGTGTTGCGCTTGCGCAAGGAGTGAGTTGGAAAGGTAGGGGGGAGAGGGGAGGCGTGCCCCCGGCGGGGCGGGAGGGAGGGGGCCGCGCGGCGGCGGCGCCGGGGCGGGCGCGCGTCCGTGGCGGTGATGGCGGTGCGTGAACGCGCGGCGGCAGCAATGGCCGCTCTGGAGCGGCGGGTGCCGAGTCTCGATGACTTCGCGGGACAGAGCTGGAGCTCGTGGGTGGAGCGGGCCGACCTGCCCGCAGCCGACGGTGAGTGAAGCCACCCTAGAGTCCAGGGACCCCATCACTATCTCCCCTCCCCCCTTCCGGGCCCCCGCCAGCTGAGGGGAGCCGCCGACAGGAGCCGCCGTCCGGCTCCCCGGCCCCCCAAACAAAGGACCCGCCGGGTCCTAGTGCCCGCCCGCTCCGTCACCTTCGCGCCTCCGGGTCCTAGCGCCGGCTCACCGCTCGCAGCCCACCGTGCCCACCTCTGCTTCTGCCAGTGCCCAATATCTGCCCCCACATATACTTGCCTTTATCTGTCTCCTTGCCTGCTGGTCTCCATCTCCCTCCCCTCCTGCACCTGCCTCCGGCTTTCCTCATCTGCAACAGTTCTCTCCACGTGTTTCCCACGCACCCCACTTCTGTGCCCCCCTCCTCACCCCCCTTGTTCCTTCGTCTTTTGCCCCACACCTCCTGCTCTTTTTTGGCGTTTGCCTGCCGGCTGCAGTGCTTTTAGACCTCCGCCCCCTCCGCATTAGTTCGTCTGTCCATCCATCTAACCTCCTTCTGTCCCTCCATCCTCCCGTCCATCCATCCATGCCTTCAACCTTCCGTCCTTTCCCGAGCCTCTTGCCCTGCCTCTTGGCTCTCTCCTCTGACTCCCACCTCCTCTAGGCCCCTGAGTGCCTTTAGTAAGCGGGCCTACAGCCCCTTCTTATGATCTTTGTCTCCTGGTCCCAGGGGACACCTGGCCTCGTGGCCTTTAGGGGTGACAGCAGGCATCACGCCCCTGAAGAAGTTTTCAAGTGAGAAGAGGTGAAGGAGGAGACCGCATGGAGGGGTCTCTAATGACACTTGTTCTCCTCTGAGACATCTGACTCCCAGCTCGGTTCTCACCATCATTCTCTACATTGCATTTAACGGACTTGGAAGAGTGGGAGCTGCCCCTTGTCTCTTGCATGCCTAACCCACCACCCCTCATATCTGGTTATTATATAAGACTACCAACAATCTTCTCATCCTAGAAAGGGGCCTATCTGTTAGTGGGCATCAGAGAGTAGACCTAAGTGGGAGCCCAGGCCACCCTGGGACTGCCCCGTGCTGGGTGGGCAAGGATGGGGCCATTGTCAGGGTCTGGGTGCTTTGAGAACCGGAAATGGAGTCAGACGGGTTTGGTGACTCAGAATTGATTTTTTTTTTCCAAGGGACAGGGAGGGGGCGTACAGGAGGGAGGGGGGAGGAGTAAGGTAGGGGGATGGGGAAAGAGCTGTTTTGCATAGCTAAGATGTTTTTGTCATTAACCCAGAAACTGAGGTACAAGGGCAACCCCTGTCCAAAGCCCCACTAAGAAGGGGATGGACTTGCATGGCTGACCAAGGAGATTTTGAAGATGCCAAAAGGCCAAAAGACAGCAGTTTCTCTGCTTTGTGACTGTCCTATCAGTATAGGACCTGAGAAGCTGGGTGTAACTTTGATAATGGCGTGGTAACCCAGGTGGAGCAAAATTGAGTTCATGGGATGGACACCTGGGAGAGTGTTTGGGATGCCACAGAGTAGCAGAAAGGACCCATCTGAGAAATTTTAAGAGGGGGGTCTCAGGGATCTATAGAAAAATTTGTTAAGGACTGTTTCCCCTTTAAATGGGGAAGTAGGCCCAGAAATGAGATGATATTTACCCACAATCACCCAACTAGTCAGCAGTGGAATCCTGAACAGCTCCTTGAAGTGAAGGATCCATAAGAAAGGTGGCTTGATTCTTCTTATTGGGGCCAGCTCATTCCAAAGGTGGCAAGTTGAGGGAAGAATGGGCACTTGAGAATGACCCACTGAAAGGTTCTCCAAGTGGTCCTCAGCACTAGGAGCTTGTGGGCTTCGTACTGCCAGGCCGCATGCCTTGCTTGGGTAGGAGATGGGGCTTCTGGGAAGGGGGTGGTTCTTCTGAGCTGTGTTTCTCCTCTAGGGGCTGAGCTGGAGGAGAGTAGCAAAAACACAAAGAAGTTGGATGCCATGACCCTCATTAAAGAAGGTGGGAGTCAACACACATTAGGGCTGGGACCCAGGGCAGACAGGAGACCCTCCCCTCTTCCATCACATGCTAGAAGGAGGTGGCTACTTGAAGCAGCAGGTCTGGGGATCCTCATTTTGATAGGTCTGAGTCAGCCTGTTGTGCTGGCTCCTGTGACCTGTTGTTGGAGATCCTAATCATAGGTGATTGCCTACTCACCTGAAAGTATATATACTTTGGGACTGCTTAGATTGAACTCTGGGAGTTAGGAGCATCCAGTGTATAAAGCCTGTCACGTCAGTTGGGAGGTGAAGTGCCTTCTGAGTGGTGGGATGGGAGTGCTCTCTAATCTTAACAGAGAAACTCTGGGATCCTGGCCCCAGTGATAAGGGCTTCTGTCATTGCAGACATGTCCATCTTCGGGCACTGCCCTGCCCATGACGACTTCTATTTGGTTGTGTGTAACCACTGCAGCCAAGTGGTGAAGCCTCAAGCTTTCCAGAAGCACTGCGGTGAGGGGAACCCTAGGGAGGAGATAGAGGGGACAGGGGAAGGTGGAATATGGAACTCTGAAGACAGGGTCAGTTGGGAGGTCATGTGGGGTAATGGATGGTGGTGTTGGACATAGGAAGGTCCTGGGGGTGGCTTCAGAGCATTGTGGGGGGTCAGGGTTGTTGTTTGAACAAAATTTTAGCATCCAGTGGAGTTAAGGGAGGAGTTAAGGAGGAAGCTGGGTCTAGAATTTTGAGTCTTAAAGGCTCAAATTCAAATGGAAAAGAGGCAAATTTACAATCTTAACTATGGAAACTCAGATTCTCTAATGTGAGTCTGTGGGCAGGGTTAGGAGGTTGGGGAAGGAGGCAGTTGATACCACTCACCTCAATTACTCTTTCCACCGCCTGGTGACAGAAAGAAGACATGGGCCCCTCAGCAAGCTTTATGCCCGGGCCCCACCCCCACCTCCAGCCCCTGCCAGCTCTCAGAAATGCCATGTAGTGAATGGGCAAGGCCCAGCTTGTAGGGCCCAAGGTTCCACCAAAACCTCCTCCAGGGAGAAGGGCCAGGGGTCCCGGAACCGTGGCCACCAGCCTCCTGAGAAGACCCAGAAGGACAACCTCTGGTAAGGAGAGGCT